AATATTTACATATATTAAATCATTTAATTTTTACAACTCTATGACGTGGTTACTATTAACACTTGTATTTTACAGATGAATCAAACACAGAGAGGTTTAGTGACTTACCAAAGTCCCACAGCTAACTAGTAGGGCAGTCAGAATTTGAGCCAGCCCAGGCTCTCTGGTTCCAGAGGGCCTGCCTCTCACTATTCTGATATGCTACCTCTACTATAAAAAAATGGTATTACTCCAAGAGTATTGGCAAAGCCATTGGAAAACTCAGCATGACCTGAATTCAGGTGAAACACAGGTCAAACTAACCAAAATGGTATGAAATGAGCCTTTCCCACCATGATGCAGAAAACCAAGGCTAGCCTCACAGCTCCATGGTAAGAGAGCTCATTTACTAACCAGTGCAACCCCTTCACTTTACACATAAGGAAACTGCAACCAGGAGCAGTCCAAGAACTTGTACATGGTCATAGACTGAGGCAGAACCAAGCCCCAGTTGGCCTTCACAGGTCCAAATCCAAGGTTTTTTTATTCACTGCATTTACTGCCAGAGGCTTTCATTTCCTTTGAATTAAAGACAGTGTTTTCTCCATAGACTAATTTCCTTTTGACCCAGGATAAAATGTAGTTTGACTTGTTTAAATGGAATTTTTTACTGATGATATAAAAGATGTAAAAAGTGGGGTTAAATAAGAGGAGGCCAAAAACTTAGTAACAGTGTTGGGTTAATTCCACTGAGCAAAGGGCAGCTAAAAGCAGCTACTGGAGGGGTAAGGGAACAGCTGGCTGCTGCCGAATGTCAGTCCAATGATGCTGGACAGTATGTCTTTCCATTACTTCAGGTTCACCTCATGAGCGTGCTCTGTAAGTGGCCTTGTTTTCTCTTATATTTCCTGTTTCTGCAGGACAGTGTCTTGCTCCCTTCTTTCAGTGACTTTTTCAGATGCCACTCTTCTTTCTTACTCTCTAGAGTTTAGGCAACATTATAACGGTCATAAAGTCTGTTATAAAATCTGTTTCAACACAGCAACATATAGTACATTTCCATGTTGCAGTCTTGGCATGGTATGCCAGACGCTTCACTAGAAATCCATTATATGGAGCGTCATTCTATAAACCATGAACCTTCTGCTCCAGTGGGACTTCTCATTGCCACTAAAAATACCTTTGTGGATTCTCATTCAGTCCCATTCACCCTGAATACCAATCCCTTGCATACACTCTTCAAAGCCAAGTTTCATTCCTACTTTTCCCAAGAGGTCTTCTCTGATCCTCCCTGCTCTCTTAATATTATGGTGTTTTCTATTTCACATGGAGCTTATATGGCTTATTATTGTTGCTGTGTTTTGTATGCTTGTGTCATGCCTTCACAGTTTTAAGCCCACGTAGGGGGCAGTATAGAATTCAGATGTTAAATCCCAGTTCTACCCCTGTATGACTTCGGGCAAGCTCCTTAACCTCTTAGGGCTTTCAAGTCCTTGTCTGTAAAGAAGGACTTACAACTTTTATATGGAATTGTTGTGATGAATGAATGAAATGCTAAAATGCTATTTTAGCACAGTGCCAGACACAGAGTAAATATTCATCAAACCAAAGGCAGAGCCAATGTCCGATGTTTATTGGCAACACTTGAAGTGCAGAACCCAAGGATTTTTTTTCAAGTTAAAAACTCAATAAACTATTTGATAATTAAATGTAAATATACAACTCTCTATCAGGTCTGAGTGTTTACAATTACATAGTCCTTTTATTTTTTAAGAGCTTTATTAAAATCCAGTTTTTTATATATCTTCCAGGGCTGCAGAGAGAAGAGAAGTATCTAAATAAAAATGTCAATACCAGGAAAGACAAGAGGGAGCCTGAGTGGCAGAATGGAAGCAGGACAAGAGGCGGAGAGAGTGGGCTCTGTGCTGAGTGTTTTATTTTGAGTTTGGCATGATTTGCTCATGACTTAGTAGACGGGCAAAGAATACATGCCCCCTACCTTTCTATCTGTGGAAAATCTGTTCATGTTTGAAGACTCAGAATAAAGGCCCTTCCTTTTATTTCCCCAGATTTATTGAGGTATATTTCACAAATAAAATTTTATATATTTAAGGTATTTATATACTTACATTCAATTAGCAAGTAGTTTATTGAGTTCTCAACTTGGAAAAAATAGAATGTCACCGGTATACATATACATGAACAAGAAGTTTCACCTCAGCTCTGTTTTTAGGGAACCTGACCTAAGACACTTGGTTTAGGGTGGCAAAGATTGAAACAAAGAAAATGGGCTGGGTTAGGAACACTTGAGAGATAGAGTCTACAGGAATGGATCTGCAATAGAAGAGAAGATAGAAATCTAAACAGTTCCTAAATGCTGTTACTGAACAACCTGTTGGGTAATGGCACTATTTGCTAATAGGAGATGTCGAAAATGAGCAGTTTGGCAAGGTCGAGATGGAAAAACTCTATTTCAGATAAGTTTGAGATGTCTCTAAGTGCATACAAATGTCAGGTAGGCAATTGAATGTACTAATCGTTTGCTCCAAAGGGCAATCCAGTCTGAAGATCTATATTTAAGATTCAACCACGGTATTCAAATGGTGTTTGAAGGAACGTGACTGAATGAGGGTACTGTGTGAGACTATAGGAGATGAAGAGAAAGCTTCCCAGGGGTGTGTCCTGGCACGACAACACTTAGAGGTGGAGCAGAATAAGAATATTTAGAAAATATATCGAGGAGTAGTCAGCAAGTGGTGAGGAAATCCTGAGAGGGCTGTCACAGAAACCAAATGGATAAAATCTCTCAAGGAGGGTGCAGCCAGCTGTTGAGTGTGGCTGAGTGGTTGACAAAGATGAAGTCAGAGAACAGATCATAAAATATGGCAAAGGGGAAATTATTGGTGACTTTGACAGGAGAAGTGTTTCTGAGTGATTCTGAGTGATGGAAACAAAGGTAAAGGAGGGGTTGAGAGATGACAAAGCAAACACATTGACCTAGGCAACTATTATTGCTGTGAACAGTAGTGAACGAAGTAGTATGTCAAGTGGAACAAAGAGTCCAAGAGTATTTTTTTTTTATTGACAGCATTAGAAGGCGAAATTTGTTTTACAAAAGAGAGGGAGCAGTTGTGGGAGAAAGTCCATTAATAGACCAAGAGTGATGGGACTTAGTTCGTGAGCAGAAGGGCTCTCTGCAGCAGCGGGAGCACTTCAACAGGGGGGAAGCCAGGGAACGTGAGTGCCAGTGAAGAAAGTTTCGTGAGTGTGGTGGTGTGTGGCTGAATTAGTTACAGTCTGATTGTTTCTGTGTCCTTACTGAAATATGAAATGAAGGTCCCAGCTGAGAGGAAGTCAGAGGCAGGGTCAGTAGTTGAGAGATCTGAAGAGAGAAAAGTAAAGGTAAAATAGTCACGTTAGAGACCAGGAAAATTGATTGACCGTGGAGATGCGGTATAATTTCCTTGCACCGCTGAGTGCCTCTTTGGGTATGTATGTGCATAATTGAAAAACCAAACCAAGCCAAACCAAAACACCAGTCATCAAAGTTATAAGTGTTTTTCCAGCCATGTGTAGGTGTGAACATGAAACAGGTGAATGCCTGGGTTTAACTAGCATTCGGGTTTTGTCAGGAATACACAAGGGAGTTAAAGAACTTTCAAAGGAGTGACCATGAAGATGGGCTATGAGATCTAAGCTGGGCTATGAGGCAAATGAGAGGGAGGGTGGAAGGAAAAATAGGGAGGTGAGTGGATTTGAGGTTTCTGTGAGGCAGAATAAATGCTGGAGCATGTTATCAGAATACGTGAGCTTGAAAGAGAAGATGGCACAGAGACGGGGTGTTTGACAGCCACATTCAGAAATGTCAGAGACATTTGTGATGACAGAAGTAGGCAGGCTATAGGAAATATCATTGGATGGAGGGAGTTGAGAAACCGTGGGGACATAGGATTGAATCACCTATCTTGGCATCAAAATCCCCAAGCTGGGGAAAAGGAGTGGAGTTAGAGAGGACACTAAGGTGGAGGAGGTACAGCCATCAGGGAAACAGAGAGATGGGGAGCTGGCACAATGGGAGATTTGTTTTATTTCATTAATTTCGGTTTTTTAAGTCTATTTTATTATAGGAATACTATTGAAATCAAAGCCAAAGCATAAGGCCAAGTCTCCCCTGACCCCGCCGCTTCCTCAGAGGGCGCTGGACTTTCACTAGGCCCTGCACCCGCTCCTCGCCCCCTCACTCTGC